CCCTGTTCGAACCGCGCTCTTAATGGAGACTGACTCCACTTCGCTAATACAAAATTCGCGACCGCACTAGAATCGATTGGAAAAAAATGTAACTTAATTTTTTTTATCAAAGCTTTTGAATAAAAATGTTAACTATCAAGAAAATAATTATTTTAAATGAAAAATTGAGTGAAAAATATTTTTTTCTTTGTCTAAAAAAAATTTGTTGTTTTATTTCTTTATAATTTGAACTCAAGCTTAAAAGAAATCTTAAAAATCACTTTACATAAAAATAACTAAAATAATCTCGAATCAACGTCAGCCTCGATATGCCCCACGATAATCATTAAAACATCTTGTCACAACTTGAATATAGTCTCAGCTTTAATTCCTAGTTCGATAAGAGCCATCGCGAATCGAATGGATTATTTTGCGGAATAGGAAGAATGAGATATTTAAATTAAAGAAACCAGTCGAGTGATTGAATATTGAATCGAACTAAACGTTAATAAAACATGTTAAAAATTTATGGAAGAATTGTGAGCTGTAGATCGTATATTAGATAAATATACAGCCTCGGGGGGTATTTAGTTTCTATTATATATTATACCTAAGCCGTCATCGTAACACGTCCTTACGTAACATTACGATGATATGTCATTTCAGTAAACTTGAGGCTCAGTCTCAGCTTTACTGTTAACTTAGTCATTGCATATTACATTGCGATATAATGTAATGCTGCTTGAATCTCTGAGCCTGAATCTCGGTACATACTTGTACTTTGCCCATTGTGGAGTATTATTTGCATGTATGTATTTGTATTTATCCATGCTGGCATGTTATGCTCGCCCATTCGATTCTATTTCATTCTGTATGTCACTGTAGATATATTGGAGTACTATATATTATATACTATACACTATATAATACAAAATACAACCAGTCCGACCACATTCCATCGTGATTTAAGAACGTTTCAGTAAACCCCTTATACTTATATTATACCAACACCAATATGTACCCACTACTACAATTGCAGTTCTGATACATAACAGCGACTCGCTGAATTTACTGTTTATTTACTATTATTATTTTTTTAATTTGTTAAATCAATGGAAATTTTATTCTGGTCGTTTTATATTTTATTACTATGAGTTTAGGAATTTTATTGCAAGCCAGTGATTCGTAATTTTAGTTAATCAAAAAAATTGTCGAGTTTATTAGATTATTAGCTGCTATATAATAAGAATTGATTTTAAGAATAGTATCTCTGGATTTTATTTCATTGAATTTAAATTATTTTTTATGTCAGTGTTAATCGTGTAATTGCACAAAGAAAAATTTGTACAATAGTTGACTCACTTCTAATTATTATTATTGTTATTTTTTGTAAAAAATTTAATTTATTAAAATTATTCAGTTTTTTTTTATGTCAACCATTGAATAATAATAATAATAATAATAATAATAATAATAATAATAATAATAATAATAATAATAATAAAAGGAGAAAATACATTTTTTAAAATTTATTATTATTATTATTATTATTATTATTAAAAAATTTTTTCTGGTAATTTTATAGAAATTATACTTAATAATTTTATAGAAATTTACAGAAAATCTTGAAATTAAATTGTCATTAATTCATTTTTTTAGTAGCTTAAAAAAATAGCTTATTTTTTAAATTAGCTGATATGACGTGAGTTGATTTTGTATAAATAGAACGAGGAAATCCCAATGACTCATCTTTAAACTACTTGGGGAGATTTAGACGTTAATTAGACTCCAAAACTTTACAAGAAGTTAAAAGATTAGAGACTGGAAAATTAATTTTTAATTATATTGATGATTAAACATTTAAGTTATAAAATTTTTTATTAATTTTGTATTTAAAGATTTAATAAAAAATTTTTTTTTTATATCGACGGTCGACTGCTTATAAAAAAAAATTTTTAAGTAGTGATTATATTGTTATTTATTATAATGAAATTCTTAAATGTTAATGTTATTTAGGAGCCAGACGAATGCTTATGCGAAGTCATTAATATTGTTGTTATTACGGTTATTACAGTGGTACTGAGGCATTCGGTGTCGTCAGAGTAGTGATGACAGTCTTTTTATGGACGTGGATAATATTTTAATGGCTGTGTTATGTTTATAAGGGGCTAGGATATCTACAATATATAATAATATATAATATATAATGTAAAATGTATAATACGTAGGCGTAGGAGGTGATATGTAATGTTAAAACAATGTGAACTACATTCTTGAAGCATGACTAACTTTCACGTTTCGATCGCCTACGTGAAGCTAATTACTTATGCTCGACGAATCAATTTAATGCTTTTTAAGCTCTTCATTCCATTTACTTGTTTTGCTTCTTTGCATTAAAATTTAATACAAAAAACTGTTAAGATAATAAAGAAAAAAGAGTGAAAAAATTTCATTGATTTGAGAGAAAAATCGGGAAAATAATTTTTTTAATTTTATTATTTTAAATTAAGCAAAAAAATGCATAATTAAGAAATGACCTTGTATCTCGTGAACTATTGACATTTTTAAAGATATAAGCTCATCCCGATGTTACACTCATCATGACCTTTCATTTGAGTACCCACATCAATTTTTCATATATTTATATATATTATATATATGTATATATGAAAAATATATCAAAATGCATGTTGGGTACTCAAGTGAAAGCTCTTG